GCTTCATGACAGCCCATAGGTCACATCTTATAGGAAAAGATCTATTAACAAAAGGCAAATGGGATGAAAGAGGGTTTGGATGAGGGTCCCAACATGGAGAGGCTTGTTTGGCTCTTCCAAGACAGTATAAAAGCTTAACAGCTACTGATCTCTGCATAAGACCTCCAGCGAGGTGGCTGCAGCAAAGCTGAGAAATTCTCTGTTGGAAAACACACCAGTTTAGAAAACTCTTCTCTTTCCCATAGCAGCCTCTCCACCTGGAGAAGGATGAAATGTTTCCTTTGCCCTACGTGTGTCCCCGCAAGATAAGCATCACCAGACCAGCTCTGCTCTTCAGAGACCTTCAAGGCCTCCCAGGTAGAAGTGAAAATAAAATGTAAATATATGCTACTAAATTAGTTTGAAACTGTCTCCAGCTCTTTTTAACCTTGGCTTCACGAGGCTGCTGCAGTCGGCGCTCCCTGAATCAGCACTTTGAAATCACCTTGCTATAAAAATTCATTCCAACATCCTTTTTACACCTGGTTGTGCCCTAACAAACTTGTGCTTTTGACACCACTCCCCTCTCCAGTTTCAGCCTGATTTAACACAGAAAGGGGTTCTCTTTGCAATACTTTTACCTCTGTGTAAGTCCCCGAGATGCATGAACCAGCTGGAGTGATGTTGAATAATCAGGCAGCATCTTGTCCAGCCTCCCGAAGTACCAGTGGTACCCAATCCAATTACACATCAGATGGAAACGTCATCACTTGCATTGCCTCCAGCATGTAGGAAAAGCTCAGTAACAGGTAAAATCACCTTTCTGCTCACACAGGCCCTGAGCCAGCCAGGTCCACGAGCACCCACCTAAATTTAGGTGCCTGTTTATCAAACTGAAATCAAGCTCTTTCGCTGCGCGGCTGAGTGCTTCGTTAATCAGGGAACTTGTGTAAGCCATGTGGATGTTTAATATTCAAATATAATTATCATCTAGTGAGGGAGGGAGCACTGAGCGAAGCTCGTCCTGATTTAGCAAGCTCTGGGGAAAGTGATGACAGTTCAGCCAGAGGTAAGTGACAAAAACTCTGTCCTACAAATGTCTTCCAGAGTTTGCAATGATTTTACCCTCAGGAACACGTAGAGGTTGTGGGAAATCCTTTCCACTTCCAGCTCTTTGATGCTGCTGTAAGGGGAAGGTCTCATTTCTTATGTCAGATGCTTAGTATTCCAGGTTTGCTTCTGACAGCTAAGATATCCTGAGGTCAGTAAGGGCTAGATTTTTTTTTTTTTTTAACATTCAAGAAGAATGAAACAAGAAGGGGGTAAAATCTCACATTCATCTTACTACACTTGTTAGACGAACGACTTTCGCATGACAGTGAAGCTAATGGCACTTGTCAGAGCAGCAGCAGCAACAAGAGAGAAAGTGGGGGGATGTGGCAGTACAAGAGCATCCTCCTATTCCCAACATCTTCCATCGATGGTTACTGCTCAGGATTAACAGCGTGCACCACTGCAGAGTTGGACACATCAGAGCCACCTCTGATGACTGCAGTCCAATGCAACGACAAGCAATGGAAAAGCAGACTGGGGTTCAGAGGCACCAATGCCCTTCTCCTTGTCTCCCCCTGCCAGGAGGGGTTTTGTTTCTCCTCCCTTTCACGCCTCCCTCTTTCAAGAGCTGCTCAGTGGCCAGAGCCTGTGTGATCACAGCCAGTGGGCTACAGGGCTCCCTTGCAGCTCAGCCGTCTGCGAGGGAAAACAGGGATTTGTTCCAGGCAGCGGATCCCACCAGATTTCCATCCAAGCCTTCACATTCCCATACACTGAACTACTGCTGGGAGGAGCAATGTCAGTCACAAGCACCCTGGGTGAGCAAAACACAAACCTGGGCAGGGCACGAAGAGGATTTCGCAAATTAAGTCATCAGGATCTTGCACGGCCGTTTTGCAACCTAAAAGACAGTCATCACCTACCCGCCTCTTTGCAAGAGAACGTTATTTTTCCCTGCAAGTTGTAAGGTTTAATAAAAGAGGTGTCCGTACTGAAAAAGGAATTGCTTCTGGAAAGCAGTAATGGAAGCCCAGAGAGCAGCCCAGGCTGCTCTTTCTCCAACACTCCGCTTGCTTTTGGGCAGGATCACTTCGCTTTGCTGCTCTTCTCCTTGTCCTCACAAGCAGGGCAAGCAGTTCACTTAGAAAGATATATATTTTTCTTGATTCAAGTTTTCTGGTAAGAGAATATATTCAGTTTCTAAAGCAAAGTCATTTCAAAAACAGGAGCTAAAATTAGAGTGATTATTTTTTTTTTTGTTCTCTCTTCCCTTTATGGCTTTTACAAGCAATTACCCACTTAATGTTTTGAAATTATACAAGATACTTCAATAGCAATTTTTTTTTTCCTGCTGCAGCTCCTTGAACATGAAGTCTTAAAAGCTTTTCCAGAACACACAACAGCACGAGCAAAAGAATTTTGCCATCTTCATTCTCATTTTTTTTTTAAATGAATGGGAAGCAGTGGGATTCTTGTTCATCATAAAACTTTTTTTTTTTTTTTAATTTCATAATGGTGAAGCCAGCTTGCATGACAGTTCTAGAAATGGAAGGCAGGATTCTCGTTTGCACCACGGCCCCGCGCGTTGCGGTGGGAGCGCTTTAAAAATAGCTGCTTGGGTTATTACGCCAACGCATCTCTGGAGCCTCTTCTTTCCTATGGCAGGGTGGGACACGTGGGGGGAGACAAATTTAGCGTGCCTGCTCGTGTGCCCATCGCACAAGGTGCACAGCCCATAGGAAAAGCTGGGCCACGCGAGGAGATGGGGCTCCTGCAACGCGGGGCTGCTGGAGGCGGTGAGCTGGAGCCCCGCAGCAGCTGTGGTGGCATCCAGCTGGTCCCAGACCTGGACCCCCCGGCTCTGCATCCCAGGAGAAAGGCTGCTGGGCTGTGTCGCCCGCTTGCATGAGGCCCAGGGGTGTAAAGCGAGGGCGAGCTGCCAGCATTTCACACTCCAGACCCCCACACCGCCCGAGCGATATCGATGTGCCTGGGGTAATGTGGATGGGCACAAGGCGTTGGGAAAAACTGAGGGCTGAGTTACCAGTAGTGGAGGGTGTCCCTGCCCATGGCAGGGGGGCTGGAACTAGATGATCTTTGAGGTCCCTTCCAACCCAAACCATCCCACGATTCTATGATTCTCCCACCACCTCTCCTGGGCTCTCGGTGTGCAATCTGGGGCACTCACCCTAGCAGGGGAGGCCAAGTCTACCCTTTCCTACCTGGTCAAGTAGACCCCTGGAGGAGGGCTTTTGTTTGCTCCTTTCTGGTTGCCACGCAGAGGCCTACCTGCTAAGATCACAGCACCGGATTGCCGCTGAGCCGGCAGCGTTCCGCTCCTATCACTTAGGAGCTCCTATCACTCTTGACAAGGAGCAATACTCATCTGAAGCACCAGCTCTGCAGTCTGTAAATAAAAAGCAAAGGTTATGCACAGCCAAGCCATCCAGCTGGGTCAGGGAGATTAGTAAAACAACTCACATTCTCTGTTCTGCTCCAAGTCTGCAGACAAGAGGCAGCATCAGTGTCTTGTAAAGAAACGTGTTCCTACCATCCCCCACCCCCAGGACTCCTTCCAAATCCCCTGTGACCTGACCCCTGACTGCCTTTGCCATAGCCTGATAAGGCTCTGGAGAATAAAACATCTCAAACTGCCACATCTCGTGCTGCACATCACTGTTCTCACTCAGACTGAATCTTCTCTCGGGCCACAGTCCACTGTAACTTAGCACTCCAGGGTTTAACTCAGAGTCTCTTTTTTCCTTACTTTACCATTCATCACCACCTAAACCAACTTACGTCTCCTTGTTACATCACGGCATCCATGAAACACTGCACGCACAGCTCTTCCCTTCCTTCCAGTTAACCCTCATCTTTATACTGGGCATGATGCTGCATGATATTGAATACTTCATTGGCTAATGTAGCCCTCAATCCTAGAGTCTAAGTTCAAATCACATCCCCCCACCCCGCCTGTTGTGCTCCTGCACACTGGCAAGAACACGGGAAGCTGAAAAGTCCTTGAGACCTCAGTGCCAAATACAACCATCAGTGCGCTGTCAGCGTTCTTCTCATAACGTCCAGGCTAAAACCAAAACACAGAGCTCTTCTAGCTGTTGAAAAGAACAACTAACTCTGTCCCAGCTGAAACCAGGACAAGCTTCAGGAAGCCACCTTTCTTAGGATCCTCATGCTTGAATTCATACAACGTTCTCCTCATCCATCTTTTCGTTACACCTGTAGGATGTCATTTCACTCCTCACCTGGTGTGAGGTCAGTCAAGATACTTGCCCAGAGCCAGCTGGATGGAGCAAAGGTCACCTCAGTTGAGGTCTCTGTGTCTGTCTGCATTGGAAACACCCTCTAGGTTTCTCAGTAGCACAAGCTCTGATGAAACCCCTTCACAGTCTTCTTCAGCTGGGTCTGAATAGAGGAGGAACTCACGCAAATAAACATCTGTCTTCAGCCTGCGTGGTGGGAGACAAAGGGCTGGCAGGTTCCTCTAGATCTAGACCTAATACTTTTGGAGTAAGAGATATTAAACTTAGTGAAATACCTAGGAGAACAGGAGGAGGGAGGGAATCCATCTTGCAAAGCCCAAACTTTCCCAGTACCAATCTACTGCAGCCAGAAACACTCTCAATGGAGGAAATGGAAATACAGGAACACAGTTACTCCAGCAAACATGGTAAAGGCAGCAGCCTTAAATCGACCGTGAGCACATCAGCGTGCTACGATTTCGGATTTCACAAAGAGTCCTTTGCACAGGAAGGCTCATGTGCCCATAGCAATGGAGATCTCTGGGTGCATCTCATCCTTGTCACCATAAACAAAGAAATAAGTAAATTAAATCAGATGCAGATAACAAAGGTTCTACCCTTCCCTCTCCTCTTTGTACCAAACGCCTCAGAAGTGCTACAAACCATAAAGAATGAAAGACAACTTCGGAAGAAAAACAAAGTTCCAAGAATCATCACAACTCAGATTTTTATTCAACAGTGAAGTTGAAGGGAACTATTATTTTTTTCCCTTCAGGGCAAATGTTCTGAATGGAAATTAAGTAAAAATATTGTCCCCCAAAAGTACTCACAATGAAATTAGTTTTCATTAAATATATTTGTTTGGCAAAATAAAATAAAAAAAAAATTAGAACCCGTACAAAAAAAATCCCTTGCGAATTTGTAACACTGTAGCAATGACAACAATGTAAACCTGGATGTTTGGCAGTTGTAATTCTTTTGTGGAAATTACTGTTGAACTTTGGACCAAGAAAATGGAAATCACTTCAAATAGCAACAAGCCAATTTTAGAGGCAACTGAGGCTCGGGGAACGCTATAGGGATGGGACACACCAGTGGCTTCATACACAGTTTGTGCGAGTGATCTGCGAGTGTGGGGCTATTTAAGAGCTGGGAGGAAAAGAAGTTAAAAGCTGTTGCAGCATCGCAGCGTATGGTACAGCAAAAACCTGCAGACTTGTCATTCTGGGAGCCGGTCAGTTGGGTGAAGGCTGGTGGCAAGAGTCGAGGTGACAGTGGAAAGAATAAGGACAGTGACGAATGGTGCCAAGCACTGGGAAGCAGTTAACGAATTTCGTCATTGCATTGGATTGATCCAGTTGTGAGCAGACTCTTGGGAGTGTCTGGGGAAATCTTCTGCTTACAGTAGCTGCTTCTGCTCCCTACCTCCCTCCTCCTTCCAGTTAAAGCCTCTGCCCTGCCAGGTGGGTTTCACAGGCATGCAGTTTGATAACATTGTCCTTTAGTTAAGAATGTCTATTCCAGTATTAAAAATGTAAAAAAAGTCCTCGGGAGGGTGCTTCTTAGTGGCAGTCTTTGCCTCAAGCAAGGCCAACGGCCCGAAATTACAAGGTAATTAAAGCAATGTGGATTTGGATGAGCAATGGGGAAGATGGGAATGGGGAAGGAGGGGATGCAGGGAACAGGGAGGAACGCAACTGTTTCTACACCCCTCCCCCAAAGCCAAAATCCAAGGTGCACAAGTGGGTTTCTTTTTTTCTCACGCTCTTCTTCTTTTTTTTTTTTTTTTTTTTTTTAATATCTCTCCAGTTATAATATTTCCAGTTTTGAAGCAAGTTTCAGTCAGCCTCAGTTACAGTCATAAACAAAGTCGTAGTTGCTGGGCTCCTTTGGGATAGGTGGGGGAGCATCTGGGATCTGTATGTTTTCCAAGTCAAGGAGGCGTAGCTTTATCTCCATGCTGAGCAGCGTGTCCAAGTCGTTCCGCGTTAGATCACTCAACATATCCTTCCCAAGGAGGGCGTTCAGCCCATCGGTCCATACACAATACTGCACAGGAAAAAGATAAAAACTATCATTATGAGACTTTCCGTACACAAACTGCCTGTCCGGCCTGGTCCTCTACAGTTAACTGCTCCTACAGGGACTTACAAGGAGACCTAAAATGAGGTTGATGCGTTTTATTAGCTCGTATCATGAAGAAGGCATGTTCCACTGAGCCACTCAGAAAGTGGAAAAACAATTCCCTAAAAATGGGAAGAAATGACAGTATTTAGTTGTTTGACAATTTGCTGTCTCCTCCAAACTTCTTGTTGAATATTCTGCAGTAGGTACAGGAGAAAGAACAACTCAGGACAACGAAACTCTGGAAACATCTCCTCCCCCTCTCTTTCTCCTTCCCCAGCACTTACAGAAAAGCCTGATTATCTTACACCAAACTTTTAATTCTAAGGCAGCTAAATTAGGTGAACTGAATCCCACCCAAAGCCCTTCTGGACTCTTTGTGTAAGAAATCCAGCACCAACTATCTAGTTTTATCGTGGTTTGCTTTCCTATAGATGAAGTGGTATCAGCTGACCTACACAAAGACAGGCTCTCACGTATCTATGTCTACTTTACAACTATTTTACACGAAATAACATACAGTGAAAACTTCAGAGTCAGTCAACGTTGTGTCCAGCATGAAAACTAAATGCCAAGCTACCTGGGGTAATTCCAAAGGCTGCAAATGCTGAACTGGCCTCCAAACCCCCTTCCTTCCTGTTAGCTTTTTCCTAGCAGGAGATGCCGTCTTTCCCAACAGCTGACAGCTTGTGATAAACATGGGTTGAAAAACCATTTTAAATAAGCAACAAACTCAAGGGAGATTGGTGATGTAGAGTCGACTTCTATCAAGTGAGTCACTTCCATTTATTACTACAAGCCATTTATTCAACTATGAACAGAAGTACTCAAATGCCATCATCTAAAAATAAAGATTTCAATCATGAACTTGTGTCCTAGTTTGCAGGAGAAAATTAAATCAACCGTAACTGCATTTTTATCTTACAAATAACTTCTGCTAGATTTCATGCCAAAAAAGGATTTTAAATTTAGCTGACCATTTGCTACATGATACCGCCAAGTTTAAAGATAGCCACGGCTGACTTCATCCGACAGCAGAAGTGAGCATTATTTTTAAGGAAGAGAAAGAAAACCCCCTCTTGGGGTATATCTTCATCCAGAATAAGGGCATCATTTTAAAACAGGATGGTTAACTTCAGCATCCGAAGTGAAATCCGACTCATTTAAGCCAGTAACAAAACAGTAGCGGAGTTAGGATTTCACCCAGGGTGTCACTAAGCCAAGCTGCAGCTTTAGTATGAGATTAGCTATACAGAAGAGACTTCAGGGTTCAGGCTGTCCTGCTAACAAGTGCTAAACAAACAACTTAGCCTGCCTATTCTAGGCTGTCCAAGTGTGCCACTGAAGACTTCTAAAACATGCAGTTTCTGCGGAATGTACACAGAACATCAGGAAAAGAAAGAATCCATCACAGAAATGCAATTATTTTTGAATAGACTATAATTTTTTTATGACCGACTTGAAATCTTTCTTAGGGAAAGTCTTCCCAGAATTCACCACGAGGAAAGGAAGAGAAAGGCAAAAGGCTCTGCTCAGGTTACAGAAGCGCAGAGCATCCGTTTAACAGATGCAGCCCCTGACGGGAAGTCGTCCATCACCTGTCCAGCGAGTAAGGCCGGCGCTTTCTCTGGGGAGGAATCCCAGTGAGCCAGAAAGCAGGATTGCAGTTCTCTCCTCTTCCAGATATAACTCATCCAGGGCCCACAGAAACCAAACCCTGGCCACAATTCAGATGAGTGCAATGGCCTGGAAAAGGGGCTTCCTCTCTAATCTCCATATTGGCAAGTGCATCTAATGAAACTCCTGTACATTTTGAGCAGAGAGAAATCCTAATGAGACGGTGGAAAAACAGAGGCATTCATTCAGAAGCTTTTTCCTTTTTAATATGCAAAACAGACTAAGAGCCACTGAAAAATTAATTTACTACAGATTCATTTTCATAAAACTCCAATGAAACCTAATTATAGCTTCCCTCATCAGTTTCTTTGTCAAAAATCAAGGATAAGATTAATCCACCTTTTTGCTATATATTGAAACCAGCTATTAAGTATTTAAATGAAAAACAAATATAATAGAGTGAACTCGCAGTGCCGAATCCTCTGGCTAGCAGTAAGCTCCAACAGATGGCTAAGGGTATTGCCAAACTTAAGTACGTAAGAATGAGGTCCAAATCCCAATGATATTGGTCCAGTAATGAGATTTTATTAAAGAAATACGTTGAGAGTCAAGTCAGTGGAACCAGACAACCAGAAAGATTGTGCTGGCCTCATCCATGTGGATGCAGCCCAGGGCAACCTGGTCTGAGATCATCGCTGACCTGCTTGGAGCAGGAGGTCAGACTGGGGACATCCTCAAGGTCCCTTGGAACCTGAATGATCCTACCATCCTTGTTCAATTTTTGTTTTTAGGACACAATTCCCACATGCAGACCTCACTCTACAATCATGAGGACTGTAGAAGTGCTTGAAAAAAACCCCGTTAGTCTGACCTGAAATTGTCATGTACTAACATCACTCCTGTTGACAAAGCTTTCTAAATCTCGAGATGTCACCCACCAAACCCACCCAAGCTGACAACGCTGCTAAACTAGCACTTCCATTGACAAGCACCCCAGTTACTTTGATGAAGAGTCATGGGCTTCGTAACATGCTACTTGCCTTTCCTTGGGGGTGCTTGCCACTTTTTCCTTTAATTACAACTCACTTCTCTGTAGGCCATGGAAAAGTACAGAAGAAGTAGCAGCAGAGACTGCTGTCTCTGGCCATTTTTTGGAACATACTAATTTTGTTTCAAAGAAGCTGCACAAGATCAAAAAGAGAAATAAAGACAACGGGTGCGTTAACACAACCACGAGCAACTGGGTCAGTGCATCTCACAATGTTATGGCCCATCGGTGGGGTGCACTAGCAGTTTCTGAACGTTTGGACCATTAAAATACACTTGTAGCCATGGGCTGCAAGTTTTTATTTTTCTCAAATAAATACAAGTATTTATTTGAGATACAAACGGCTGAAAAATTTGTCGATTTTCGTGACCATCTACTCTTATGAGCTGAAACAAACTAGAGTTCAGTTTCTGGAGAATTTGTATCAGAAAACATCTAACATACGTTCAGCTCAGAGGATGAAGACAATCACACTTTGCTTAGACTGGGATCCTATTGCTGCTTTCTCTTAGATCAAAACTGACCAGTGAGTTATTTCTCTGGAATGAACATACTTGAAAATGACACTCAAATATTAATCCCCAGGGAAACCCAAATGAGCATAACTTAATTTCCTCTTCTAAAATGACTATTTATTTGAAGGTTTTAATGCAGAATTGCAAATGTTGAAGCTGTGTAACTAAATACAGTTCATTTGTAAAGCAATTTCATGCACTTTAATAACACCATAGTATCATGCAGCTTAATGCAATCTTCTGTGTTTCATCATCTTCACACAGTGTCCTGAACTGAGACCAAATGTGCTACCACAAAATAAGCGTGCAAATTGAACAGCAACTCTTGTTGCTTTAGAAATAAGAAGGAAAAACTTTATTCCTTCTTTGTTCTTTTAACATAGTGCATTGTGCTAAATCTTTACTTGGAAGTTCTTTGAGAGAAAGACATCCAACACTTCCACAGAATTAGGTAAATTAGTTCCATCACCTTCCAAAAGGTGTTGCCTATTTCCCCGTGTTTTCAGGTAAGACAAGCAAGCAGGGAGAGCCTGTCATTCCGCTTTGCTATTGGTGTTTACACTGTTTTCATACAAGTGAGACCTGTTACAATACAACTCCCTATGGAGATGCAATAGGGAGGACCTTCTATGATCACCTGTCATGAACGGTCTTATGCAATGTGTAGCTAAGTGGATACTGTATTGTAAGAACACAAATCTTTGGCTGAAATTGAGACCCAACAATGGTAAAACCTTCCCTGATTGTTTTGGCATCATCAAGATGAGTTGAGGATGGAAGTCACTCCTTAAGAGCTTGGCTGTACAAATCTTTGGTGTTGAACTAAAGTTCACTAAAGTGAACACACAGCAAAAATCCTCCAGGGTATTCCAGACCTGGAGAAATCTTTACTACACCAGGAAACAGTGAGCAAGGTCTGTAGAAACTGTGAGGTTTGCCCAAGCTTTCTTCTCTTACTTACAGTTCATATTTCAGTATGGCTTAAAAATACTGATCTTGAACTTGGACTCCCATGTGCTCTATGACGTATGCATACAAAAAATATTCCTTCTGTGGCTCAGGATATGCATGAAATTGCAGAAGGTCTTGCTCTCATACTAATCCCTTTGCTTTCAGTTTGTTGTGAGACCTGACACAGGTTTAGACGGACCTGCACCCTGTGCCAGGATGACCATTCTTATGTTCTTATAAAGCTGGTTGCTGCCATAAAGTAACTAAGAGGGCTCCAGAGAAGTTTCTGTACTCTGAACTTCACTTACCTCATGCTTGTCTGGAGCAATGAAATTCAGCTGGCCACTTGAGTCATACAATATAGAGAAGGCAAGCTCTAGCACCTCCTGGAATACAAAGAAACACATATTAATGCTGCATGAGAGAGGCATTAATACATTCAGGTCTGTCTGTCTGTCCCTCCTACCACTTATTCCCCAAAACAAGCGGAAAAATAGGTTATGGCACTCTCCCACCTGGCTTCAGTCAAAACAAACTCACCCCTCTCAGAGCTGACTGTAGCTCACTCGGTCATGGACTGCTTTAGCATTTGAGTTTAGATTTGAGCTAGGCAACGGTGAGGACTAAAATCAATACAACCCATAATAGTACACTTGCAACAAACTCTTCACGAAGACCCACGTTTCTTCAATTTGTATAGATTAATCTTGCAAAGTTCTGCAAGGTTTGATTCCCTGTGTCAAAAATCTTGCCAGGACAGTTAATCTCCTGGTATATACTTACGCTCTTTTCACTGCTGGAAATCTATTAAATTATTCATCCTCAGGATATTGCTGTCATTTTGTCTCTACCTGAACCACAATCAGCAGTCTCAGTCAAACTAAACTACCTGGATTACTTAGTCATAAAGTCCCAAATTAATCTTGGGAAAGGAAAAAATGATAACCTTTTTTCCCCTCAACATTGAAGCTGGAATTTCAAAGGTGCCAAAACGAAGTCATTAAGCACTGACCTTCCCTAAAAGTCACCTGGACCTGGGTTCCTGTGGGGAAACCCATCCAATCCGAATAAATAATGAGCTTCCACTGGCCAGCAGTGAGCACGTAAAGATGTTGTGACACATCACTGAAAGCACCGTTACCAAGATTTCACAACTTGTAAGCTAGCTGATAGGGATATTATAACTCTGTGGAAAAAAGACCTGGCTACAGAGGAGAGTGCTGACTCGTAACTGCTTTGATCTGTATCATATGTCCTGTTTTTTTTTCCTCTTGGCTTCCTGAGCTCCGTAATACTGATGGCCTTTGCTGACTCTCAGCTGACAACAGTCCCCAAGCTGCCAGGAGCGACAAGAGTGTTGGCTTCCCCAATTTGCTACACGGAGTTTTAACATGGAAGAGTTGACTGCAGGGACTGCAGCATATGCATTGCTCTGGATTTCTACCCCTGGTCTCCTGGTCTGCAACAGACCCAGGTCTTCGGATTTCGGCAAGAGTTATTTCATTTCTCAACTGGAGCGATTAAGAGCAGAGTTCTGATTCATAAAACTTGCAATCCTTAGGGATAACCTTGAATGATCAGAGATCAGGCTTCTCATGGGGAATGCTCTTGGTTTCCTTCAGTGTAGTTATTAGGTTCAACTTGCTGTGCTGCCAGGCCACAGGGGACATGTCTACGTTAAATCCCTGTGGAACCTGCAGACACTCACAGTGCTGCTGCACTCAGCAAACAAACGGCTCACGCAGCCTTTCTGTGTTTTAGCCATGTCTCTCAGCCCCACCTTAGTAAGGGTGATGTCCCTCATTCCAGAGACAAATTCACCTCCGTCCATGCAAACCTGGCATTTTCTCCTCACAGAGTGTTATAAATTACTGATGGAACATGCCAAGTCATGCCACCGAGGTTGTGAAAATAAAACGTAGCACTGAAAAAAAGTGCTCGGACTGCTCTACTAGGATGTTCCTGAATTTCATGAAGGTCAACAATAATTCCATAGGCCTGGCCCCTGTATATTTGTCCTTTGGGAAATTACAAGGGATTGAAGTTTTTGTTCATCTTGAAGAAAGGAAGCGGAGAGAAAAACCCTGCCTGTAGGAGGACTATCCCAGAGAACCATGGGTTTGGTCATTCCCAGTCAGGCAGAGAATGAGAAAGGGCTACATTTAGGGCACCAAGCTTCCTTTTATGAGGGACAGTCGGAGTCTGGCAGCCCTGGCTCCCGTTCAGCTTCTTCGCTGGCTGCTCCAGAGACTAAAGGCTCAGGAATTACAGATTCCAAGTGCCAGCGTCTCTGTCACCTCATGCACAGCAAACTGTCAAGGCGAATGGAAGCCTGAGGAGCTGGAGCTGCCAACTGGCCCACCACACTGACGGTGGTCTCACTTGTTGAGCTGGCTGACTTGCCAGGCATCCACACCTGTTTTTGCTACATTCCCATCAATGACGTGATTTTGAGGAATTGTCAATTCCTAAAGGAAAACTGGTCAGTCTGTCAGCCATCTGTGGCTTTCTCCTCCCTTTTCTGTCCTGCTTCTCAACCTTTCCTAAAGTTATTTTCCGCCCCAGCTCTTCCCACCAGTTTCTCTCACACTCTGGTCTTTCTTCTCTCCCATTCCTTCCAATCTGCTCCTTCCCTCCTTGTTTTGCTTTCCTCCTCCCCAATCTCAATCTGCTGAACTCACTCCCTTGACGCTCCTAACTCTTTCCATCCCTACACATTTCAGACCTCTGCCCTTCTCAAGATGCTTGTCCAAGGTAACAGTATGGGGATCCACGATGTGCCTCCCTTTTGAGCTTCACTAAAAACAGGGAACAAGAGACTGCACCTGCTGGAAGCTTCCTACTCCTTGGTTTCAACTCTGCAGGGACAGCTACTGCAGGTGGTATGACGGGAAGTTTGCTCTCCCATGCCCAGAGCTTTTCTCTCCTGCAATCTCCACTGGCCCCTCATGCGGGCCAGAGACAAACTATTTTTGATGAAGAGCCATTCCAGGTGCCTACAACTGAGTGATCCCATACATCTGGAAGGACCTGACTACTCTCTGCCTACTCTGTCATCAACAGCCTCAAAACAACCATGTCTTTGCTGAAGGTTGAGACCACAACTATATTAAGTTGGCTTGCCAGAGCCAGAAGATCCCCCTCAGAGAACTATCTACGCATGCAGCAGCAGGGAACTTGTTCAACCAACACGAAATAGAAGAGAAGCTGCGGAAGAAGAGGGAAGTGAGCAGAATCATTTCTGTGGACTAAAAAGGCACCAAGCCTGAAGCCTGCCACATCAGCAAATAAAGGGTGATAGAAGAACACTTAGAAATACACGGCAACGTTTTTTCCAAATTCTTCTCTCCTGCTTTGTTTTCAAGGCTGCAAGATCGAATATATTTCATTTCCTTGAAATTCATTAATACTACTTGAGAGTCAGAAATGAGGGCTTTAAAATTAAACCTAATTTAAAAACACAAGCAAGACGAACAACAATGGATTCAGGTCTGGTTCTATCAAGTCATTCCAGCTTCATATGCATGCAAATTCCGATTCCGTTTAACTCTTATTTTATTTCTAAATGGTCCCACTGGAAGAATAACAGCCACGCGCCGGCAAACGAAGAGATGCTGAAGCCTTTGTTATGGACATTGTGCCGACTGCAGCTATGTTCACAGCAGTGGCATCCTGCCATTCAATTTTCTTTTCTGCCAATGAATAAACATTAAGGTGGTTGTTATATGTGTACAAAGAAAGCACAGGATGAAAAGGCCTCATAAAAATACATCACTGACTGTGAAATTTCAAGAAGTGAAAGGTTTCATACACCAAACTCAGCCAAATTGCATTCCGTGTCTTTTTTTTTTTTTTTAAATTTTAATTTCATTGGCCACATTAACTTGGAACTCCACAAACAATGATAAGTTATTCCTATGATGTCAATTAAGTAGTTGTAATATTGCGCATGACAGTTTGATTGGGGTGACAACTAATTTCACGAATTCTGTGATTCCCAGGGGAAGAAAAAAATGAATCAAGGAAGGAAAAAAAAACAACCCACAACATCAAACCCCCCCCGCCACACCAGAAATGGTAAAAAAATCAACATTATTACTGCCTGGGTCACAAATGGAATGCTCCAGCCATGGATGCAGCCATGCTACATATCAAGTCCTGTTCTTCACGTTCTCAGCCAGAACTTCTACGTCAGTCCAAGGCAATTTTACCTGAGGAAATGGGGTGATGCTGATGGCTGAGGACAAACTGATCTGCAGCATTGCTGCTTAGCATTAAACACTATCTAGACATCACTGCTCCATAAAGATGACACATTTCCATCACTGCCACCCACTGCTTTCCGTCTTCCTATCTTTCCTTTTTTGCGCAGACATGAGTGCTAAGACAAGGAAGCACTAAAAATACTTCACGTGCATCATACAAATGCCCAGCCAAATGCTGTCGATGGTTCAGCGGTAACACGAGGTAGAAGTTGTATGCAACCTACTGTGTGCATGTGTGTGTTAGTGCCCTAATTCAGAAAATCAACAAGTAAAAATGCTCCTGAGATTTTTTTTTTTTCCCCCTTGCTTGGCTTGGCTTTTTCATTTCCAACCACGTAAAGCCAATGCTGAAAGGAGATGATAGGATCCCGATAGCCTTAAAGCAACTCGTATGTATGAGAAACAAAGATTACTTGAGATGCTCTGCATATCTGCATATAGTTAATGACAGAAAGGTTGCAGCTATGAAGCTGCAACAGTTGTGTGACATAGTTTTGACAGTGCCTTTCCATTTTCTGTGGTTCTCATCAGAACTGTTTCTTTCAGTATTTATTTGAACACTAAATGCATGCATTTTATTTTTGAAGTGTTGAAGCAGGAACTCTTAAATTCATTATTTTGTCCATCAAAATCTCTTTCTTCTTGGACCCAGAATTTCTCAGTTTCAGGTAACTAGAAATTCTGATTCAAATCCTCTGATCTTGTTCCCAGACCTTAGGTGTGGTTCTAGGTCAGACTGAAGATCATTAGTCTCACTTTTTCTTGTAAGGTGAGAGAGTATGATGTGATAGAAAGCTTATGAACATGTCTCACACAATATGGTATGAAGACTTTCACCACTAAAGATGTCAGACTTTGCTAGTAACTCAATTTTTTCTTGCTCTGGTGGCAATTCTTACTAACAAAAACCCTGCAAGATTCTGGCACTGTACAATTTGAGTCCTACTGTCCATTACAGTTCTTGATCTGAAACTCTGAAAGGTAGCATAAATCTAAGTTAAGCTGATCATTTTCTCCTACACATTTTTTCCCAAACACACTGCTGAACACATCCTTATACACCTCATTAAATGCCCAGCATCTACTTTACATCCTTTTGTTGGCAGTTGTTTTTCCACCTGACTGGACCCAAAGTTATCATCAGCTGGACATTAATCGCAATTTTGGCACGTGCCAGTGTTCACTGAACGTGAGCTGATCAGAGAATACAGCTGGAACAAGCTAGCTACTTATCAGAGACAATACAGGAGTAGGTACCAACAGTCATTGCTATTCTGCTCTGTAGCAGCAGTCACAACAGCTTTGCTTTAGAGGCAGAAGACATCACTACTAAAGATCATCCTAAGGTGCTCTGGGCATGTCACAGTGTACATCTGTCACGAAATGAGTAAAGGAGCATAGGCTCTCCCAGTAATTTAACTCAGATGGTCTGAGCTGAAAACAAAGTGTGTGTGCATACGCAGAAAGACGACAGGCTGGAATGAAAAATACGTGTATTACTTCAGGGAAGGTCGAGTTGACAAGCTCTGTATTCTGCAGGGTGGGCATTCCTAACAATTTGAGAACCATACCTTGTTTTGTTTAAGAGCTCCTTTCTCCTTCATGTGAGGGCAGTCCTTCCCAGTCACAATAGCTTTTATGTCTGCCACTGGCACTGCATTAAAAAGAAACAAAAGCGAAAATGAGAAAACTAGTTACAATCAAGGTGTGCAAAAGCTATAGAGACTAAAAGGAAGCAGGACTAACACGTTAAAATTGTCACCTCCTTTGCCATTGGAAGCCTGTTGTAAGAAAGTAAACTGGAAGAAAACAACTAAAATAGAAATCAGTGAGTCTTGACAAAATTTCAGGCGTCTGGATAAAAATCTGAGTAGGCTTTTTCTTGCCTGTTAAGACTACTTTGGGTAAGAGTGTTTCCTACAGATGTCCACCTGTGTCTGGACACTATGTGGACTCATCCATCTAGAAAATATATACTGTTTTCCACCTCACTCATGTTGTTGCTTTTTCCTAGGCATCCAGGTAAAGTCTCTGCTGAAGAGAGGGTGCTGGGTGAGCTGGACTCTCCTTTGCTTGATGCTGCTGTCCTTCTGCTAATGCCTGTATGAATTTTTCAAATAGTTTTCTATTTCATTCCCTTCAGCAGTTTAGTAATTTCCTGGTATTAACAGGAATAAGGACTACTAAGGCTTACAATGACCTATTCCAATTGCTTTAAAATGTGAAATGATTAGAAATCATTAAAAAAAACCCAAAAAGGTCAGAAAAATGTATTGCAAGCTGTTGCCACTCAGACTCACTCCCGGAGTGAGGTCACTAAAAACATAAATTTCTCTGCGTTTCAAGCAGAAGTCAATTTTCCAACGGTAATTACGTTATGGAGAATCTATATGCTCCACAATACAATATGGTCAGTGAGTGACAGTTTCTACAATCTATAAATAATCCATTATCCTTGTGGCTGTGGAAAAGGATCATATATATAGAAGCGCATAATAATATGAAAGTCCGTTACTGGCCAGTTCTTTACAAATTCTAATGGAAATACTGGAGAGGAGAAATGCATTTTCTCTTCTACTGGGTACAGCAACACTATTTTATTACAGATTACCTCAGCACTATGGTCAAATGGATAGCACTGGATATAACAGACATTTTAAAAGGACTTTCTTTGCATGGAAAACTAAAAGAAATGGAAGTTCTTGGGCCCTTTGCTACCCAGCCTCTCCCGCCTTTAGTCTCAGCTTTTCATGCTGTGGCCCTGCTGACTTTTTATATCTCTGACACTCCACCACTTTGTGGTCAAGAAGAGGTATTATTTTTGAGAGAAGAGAGCGAGCTAGGATGAACTGAGAAGTAAAGGAGGTATTTGACTGCAACTATGGTAGAAAGGTCTCCAAAAGAAAGTTCCTGCCGTTTGCTGAAGATGCTCAGAAAAACAATTTCTCTACTTGCGTAAGGTACCGTTTTCTCAAGTTAGATCTCTCAAACAAGAAGGCGGCTTTTCTGCAGGTTTCATATGCTTGATCTCTGTGATCTAGAATGCAGTTACTATGGGAGATCACAGGCTGATGTGACATCCTGATCTTTATTTATCTGGAACTTGGCCTGCTCCTTGCTTTGGAAAAATAGAATCAGAGACTTCAAATGGTATCAGAAGCTGACTACAAGATGCTGGAGGGTACGAGCACAGATGTGATGTGCTCACAACAGATAAAGCCTCGAGAAAAAGGGCAGCTGTTTCATGTCCCAGCTGGAGTCTGCACAGATTGTTAACTCTGCCAGCCTGAAGAGAGAGGTGACACTTACAGAAGTGAAAAGGTTAAAAAAATCCCACATTTATTTCTGGAGATATACACTAGTTCTTCAGGCTTGGCAAGGAGTACACAAAATGCCCTTGGCTGCTTCTCTTGGTCTTCCATTTTCTTACCCACCTATTTCTCTTTCATCCGATGACCAGCTCCCAGATGCTGACAATCTGGTCAACATATTCAGACCTTAATAGTTCAAAATAAGTCTATCCAAAGAACACCAGAATATTTGTTTTGTAAAATTCTCAAGCCAGTTGGGCCTGACACATTTCGAACAATAGTGCCACTTCGTAATCTTGTATCTTGCAATATTCTCAACTCTGTTCAATTAAACTCTAACGTGGGTGGCACTGTGGTAAATCTCATATTCTTTGTGCCCTGAAAACTTGAGATATTGATGAAATAACCCTATCTTTCTCAAACTGCATCAGTATCTGCTCTGCCAGCAGGCATGCACGGGGAACACGTAGGTCTGGCCCAGTGGCTCCTCAGGTAGGACCCTTCTGACCCCACGAGATGCTGATATTCCCAAACAGGCTCAACAGCCTCTGAGAAACGCAGATTTGAGATGAAACTTGCAGTAAGGGTCAGGGGTTTGAGCGTGGAAGTGTGCTCAAAGCAAACAAAATCTGGGAACTGCTGGTCTGTCTCCTAACTGTGCCTGCAGTTCCAGTGTGACCTTAATTCTTCTGTCATTCTGACGCTACTGTAACATTCAAGGGCTATTTCTCTAAGCCTCATCCAGAAAAACAGCCTCTCCCAGTGCCAATGCAGCAATGTCAGCCCCTGTCCTACATTCTGCCAAGACTGCAGTAAGAGCATGGAACACCCTGGAGGCAATCTGAAAGGCACTGAAAACACAGGAACGTGACTGTGAACTGCCAGGGCTCCAGCATCAGACGGCTCTTCTGCTTGCCCTCCCAGTCTGCGTCTGGGAGCACTTGGAAATTTTAAAAGGTGCTGCCTGGAGACGGGTTGTGGAAGCAGAAAAGAGAAACAATTCTTTGTTTTACTAATCGACAGGAAAGTTTAAGTCACTGATTTTCTCCTTTCTCAATCTTCAGGCTGGAAAAATTTCCAACTTCTGAAAAATTAGTCTTTCTGTTATTCCCTGAAAGAAGCGGAGCTACCAACTGAAATACTTGTACAAGCATGTCAAATTTGATAATGCCCAGAATGGCATTTATTACTAATGGAGGTTCAGAAAAGAACAAAAAGAAACCATTCCTTATTCAATGCTTGATTTCTTGAAGTCACTTTCTGGTGACAGAACTACATGGGTCACTATTTTTGTCATCATAAAAAACTTGCCCAGGATTGCAGGTTAAACCTCTACAACTCATGTTGAAGGACAAAGGAGACATTATCACGATAATATGATTTTTCTGAAGGGCTCCAAAATTACTTTTATCCATAAAAAAAATGCCGATAAATCCCTTGGTAGGAGTTGCCACAGAGACATGTCCTCTCCCAGCTGGGTACACAGTAACAGTGAGGTTCTTCTCAACACCGTTCACAGCAATGTGTCATCTTTAAGTCCACTCTTCACAATAATGAAAAAGACCTCTGCCTGCCACGGATTTCTCCTCCAGTCACTAGACTGTTTGCCACAGAAGACACATCTGTCTCTGTGGACAGGAAGCGCTTCTGAATAGGCCCAAGTATTTTTATTTGACACCTGTGGTTAGATGAGCAAGGAAAATAAACTGTGTTCCTCCCCATGAAAGGCATGACATTTCCAAGCTGAATGAAATCATAAACTCATTGGAAAGCTGAGCTCAGTCCTCATACATACTTGCCAAAACCAGGAGAGCAGTGTTTGAATGCAGGAGGAAATGTCCTCTGCTCTCGATCTCAATCCGTAAACAGAGCTGTTGATAACGTCCTGTGTTAGGAGAAACCTACCACAAGTTATAAAGAGGAACTAGCATAAAAGAAGCAAAAGTAGCACAATCTTCGTGCATGACTTACATTTATCTTGCAAGGAATCATGGGGGACTTCTCCCTGGGGACTTTCTTCCAAGTCTCCGTAGTGCAAGACCTTGTGATTAGGTGAAAGTCGGCAATACCAAAATTTATCTGTTAAAATAGTAAACAAGGTCACTAACGTGTCTTCATCAGCGTTATCAATAGCAGAGCAAAAAGCTTACTCATCCGAGGCACCTCGGAGAAGGACTGGCTCTCTTCTTTCAGAAGGAATGTGGGGAAAGTAGGGCAGGGACGTGGCTCAGTAATTTTACTTGATTGAATGAAGCTGGCATTAATCTACCATTTTTTTATTGACTTAGTCACTGGCTCCAAGAATAAATACTAGCAAGAAACAACTGACTTAGTTTTCCATGATATTATATGCCCTCACGGATAGAAGACTGGCAAAGTAACCACCGCTTTGAGTGGGTAACTTTAATGTACCCATAAAAGCTTCATTTTTAGCACCCACTATGTGAAAATTAAGCCGTGCCAGCTGTCTTGTGTGGGACACCCAAAACCTGATACATTTGAAGTATCCCATACTTTATGAAAATTATGACTCATGCCTTTTTAAAGACATGGGAGAACACCTCCGTATTTATGGAGGGACTGGACATAGCAAACATGCAAAGATTTTAAAAAGCAGATGTTAACTCTCTTGTCCAGCAGATGACTCAGTGCTCTGCCTGGTCACAAATATACGTGTGACCATGCAGTCACACTCCAGTTTGCATTCTAGCCCTTCCTAGGAGATGTATATTTACATCTCCTGCCAACTCCTGCTTCACAGGAGATAATTCCCCTTAACAATATTTGTTAAAATCTGCTCCCACCAAGACGACTGCCTTTGCAGAGCCGGGCCACCAGGCTGCCTAGAGCGCAAGGGTGGTGCTTGCCAATTCCCTTTCTGAAATGGCAAGAACAAGGTCACCCTTCCTTGTCAGAGCACTTTCTATTGAATAAATAGATCACAGAATGTTAAGCTGTCAAAAATACAATCTTGTTATATCCAAGCTATAAATCTCCGAACGCTTAGAGCAAGGCTAGATGTCAAAACACTAAGGGGGAGAGTGGGCAGAGAGCTTCTCTGGCTCTGTGCTTCTCTTGCTGCTGGCAGCGCTGATGCTGTGCCAAGCAGCAGCCTAAGGCACAATTTTGGGGAAACGTGAGCATCGACGCAGTCCCGCGGTGCCACAATTGCCAGGAGCGAATGCAACCGTGGTTCTGACGAAACGTCGGAGGAGCTGTAGAACCAGCAGAGCCAGCATACGTGAGCTCATCTGGGCTGTTAGCAAAGGAAGGACTTCTTGGCTCTGTTAGTAAAACACTGGCTTCACGGACCCGATTTCTTTCTGAAAGACACCCTCCAGTGCCTTGGCCAGCCATTTAAAACAGAATGCAATAAAATACAGAGCAAGGCAATTCAGCTTTGAACGGCACAAGTGGGCTTCCACACGCCCTTCTCAATTTCTTTGTCACAGTGGGTAAAAATGTTTTGGGGAAAAAAAAACCACCATACATGTTAAACCACTTTCTGAGTGCGCAGCACTTTCCACAGAAAGGTTTCAAAAGACCTTACAAACCACTGCAACGGACAAGATTGTGGTTATTTACTTCACAGGCACGCACAATACTGAAAGATTTGTGGTAGAGAGCCTGAGATTATGATTTTGTGATGCAAACAAAAAGAGCTGCTGAAACATAAGCATCCCCGGACTGTGAGCAGTACATACATAACGCTGCACAGTTCAGGGTCAAGAGGAAAACCACACTTGCAAGGCTTTTGTGGGGATTTAAAACTAGAGCAAGCAGGAGCTCTCATTCAGTAGACGCTCATCTGAAGAGCAAACACACTATCAACTTGTTGGACAGCTTGTGCGTCTCAGAAGGACGCATGTGAAACTCTTCTAAATTTATACGTTTTGACAGGGAACTCTACCAGAACCATATCAAAACCTATGTTACAGCTTGAAAAATATACCTTGTTGAATCTGAGGGTAGACCACCATGTCCCTTGCCTACCTAAAGAAAAGCCTCTAGGAACTGTAGCAGGAGGCTTTCATGTCTAGCTTGAACTGCGACCTCATTGTTTATTAGGCTGTACAAAGGAATACACCTTTCCAACTCTAAGATTAGAATAATAATTTCTTTCTAATAAATGCCAACATGCTCTCACTACCTTCATAGAATCATGGAATGGTTTGGGTTGGAAGGGACCTCAAAGATCATCTAGTTCCAACCCCCTGCCATGGGCAGGGACACCCTCCACTACACCAGGTTCCCCAAAGCCTCATCCAACCTGGCCTTGAACACTTCCAGGGATGGGGCATCCACAACTTCTCTGGGCAACCTGGTCCAGTGCCTCACCAACCTCTGAGTGAAAAATTTCTTCCTTATATCTAATCTAAATCTCCCCTCTTTCAGTTTAAAGCCATTGCCCCTTGTCCCCTTCTCAATGACCTGGCCAGGAAGTTGGTGTAACTGAAAAAAACCAAACCCATTATTTCCTTTCAGTTTAGCACAGATGGGGCTGGTGTTGCCAGCAAGGATTTGAAAACGTTTGGGTCTTTAATAACCTCCTGGGGATTGCAGTGGGTCCTGTTTCAACACCCTGCTCCAATAATAAAAGAGGGAAAAATCTTTCAGTGAAATTGTCTTATTTCATTTTTAGGAAGGGGTGGCTTTATGAGAAGAAGCCCCAGCTCTGAAGGCTTGTGGAGCCTTTGACAGCAATTCCCCACAACCCAAGGTTAATTAAAGAACTAATAGCCACAGGCTGTAGCTTGAAGCATGTCTGGTGCAATTCTTCCGTGGGCTCACTAATAAGTGCCACTGTGCCACAGCCTTGCTGTCATGGGGAAAACCCTTAAAAAAACCCTACAAATGGAACTAACGAGGTTCCCTCAGCCACGATCACTAAACAACTGCACCAGCCAGGCTGAGGCGGGCGATCAGCACGTTAGCGATGGGAAGCAAGCCCTGCTTCTGCAACCACCTCTGCCTTACCAGCTGGGGTGGGTTTTTTTCAGCTGTACACAATGTTACAAACAGTTTAGCAGAAAATATCCCACTTACGTGAGACTTCAGTGCCTTGGGGGGAAGAGTTTTAAAGAGGATTCATGTAATTTTACTGTAGTGCGGGTGCTGGACACAATTTTATTGGAAAAGGAGTGTATAAAATGATGTTGCAGTCAAAATAAAATTATATGAAATTGCTTGCACTGACAAAAAGGGTGAAGACATCTTAATCACAGAACAGCACACGGGAAGTGGGCAGTGTTTACTTTCAGCTCTAAATTGATAAACTCAAAAAATAAGCAGAAGAAAAAGCTCTTTTCTACCACGATTAGAAAGTGGTGTTTATAAACCAAAGAAGAACTACAGTCCAGACCCTCCAGAGCTCTTATACCCAAGTCTGTGGAGTCGAAGTGCCACAAGAGGCTTTAAAGACAGGGCAGGCATTTCCCAACAGACCCTGCACTCCACAGCTGGCAGATCCAGCGCACAGCTGGAGTGGGGCAACTGTCTGTTCAGGAAGGACTGGAGTTTGTTTTGGTTTTTAGGCTCAGTCTTACGAATTTGCCCCAAAGCCTATGAGCCCCCAACATAAGAAGGACATGGACCAGTTGGAGAGGGTCCAGAGGAGGGCCACGAAGATGATAAGAGGGCTGGAGCACCTTTCCTATGAGGACAGGCTGAAAGAGTTGGGGCTGTTCAGCCTGGAGAAGAGGAGGCTCTGGCGTGACCTTATAGCGGTCTTCCAGTCCCTCAAGGGGGCCTACAAGAAAGATGGGGAGAGGCTGTTCAGGAGGGCCAGTTGTGATAGGACAAGGGGTAATGGTTTTAAAACAGAGGGAGGTAGATTCAGGTTGGATATCAGGAAAAAATTTTTTACCATGAGAGTTGTAGAACACTGGAACAGGTTGCCCAGAGAGGTGGTGGATGCTCCATCCCTGGAGACGTTCAAGGCCAGGTTGGACGAGGCCCTGAGCAACCTGATCTAGTTGGAGATATCCCTGTTCCTTGCAGGGGGGTTGGACTAGATGACCTTTGAAGGTCCCTTCCAGCCCTAACCATTCTATGATTCCATGATTCTATGTCACTTCCATCAGCCACAACTCTTATTTTGTACCTGGTGTTGTGCCTCTGTAAAACTCCTCCTTAGAGCAAGCAGCAGCAGGGAGGGCAGTCGCTAACCACAGAGTCTTTAGAGACGATGTGAGCTTGTGATTTCATTGCAATTTTCGGACACTCCATCATTTACACCTTCCGGTGAGTCCTTATGTCTTTGCGCTCACTGCCAACTGACGCAATCAAATTAAGATTCTAGAGAAACCAAATTAATCATTCCCGTTTTTAACCTGAAAAGGTTTCGCGCTAATTGTTCTGATTTTCAGATAATTGCTAGAGCAGCCAGCGGGTTAAGTATATCGCGGCATATTGTTAAAGATTATAGATGAGGTTGAAAAAAAAAAAAAAAAAAAAAAATCCCAGATAACAAAATCAGCTACAATTTGCTTAGCAGAGTAATATTCAAAACTGTGACCAAATAGCAGGGCACAGAACATTTTGCTGAGGGGCTGCAGAGTGCTTGGCCATTCACATAGTGTGTTTCCAAGTGCATTAATGGCCAGTGACTCATATGCCCTTAACAACGCTATCCCAGGCAAAGCAGTGCTGTGGTGAGTACGGAAGTGCTCCACAGTTAGAATCTGGGGAGAAAATAGCTCAGATATGCATGGAAAAAAAGTCTGAGAGCATGCATTTTATCCCCAGATACGTTCTAGATTACTAAAGAAGTTTTTTGTTCAAAGAAAATCTTACGCACGGATTTAGCAACAGGAACATACTTCTAAATGTATCAGTGAAAACATACATTATTTGTGTAGATTTTAAATATATGTACACGGACTCACCCTTTTTCTATCATTGTGTTGTGTTTCTCTACTGGAGTGACAGACTTTCGCTCTAATTGGTCTTAACTGGTTAGACCAAAGCCAGCAGGCCCTGCAAATGACTGGCAATTAATTGACCTGTGGCAATGCTGGAGGCATGTCTGGTTAACCAGTTGCTCTCAGCAAGTCACTTGCTCACAGAATATTACTTTTTATGGGTCTACAGAGGGTAGAACAGAGTAGTAGCCCTAAAGAAGGCTCAGCAGAAAAAAGATGAAGCGTGTTCTTGTTCAGAAGCGCGAGTTAGTTATCCAAGCAAGAGATGGAATACCTGTCTTCACTTGATTTTTTGTTTTAATGTAAGCTTTCTCCTTCCAGGTTACTTCCACGGTGCCTTATGTTTTTAATTTAATGGTGTGTATCACTAGGTTTCCTTTGCCTTCCAAAAATGATTGTTCAAGAAACCTCATCTTTGGCTGCAAAACCACTTCAATAACACACAATTTCTCTATAATCTTTATAAAGCTAAAAGGGGAATTTTTTTCCAAGAGTGTACCCAGCAACATAAACTACACATGTAGCGGATGACAGCATCAGAAGTATCTATTATCCTCAATAAAGTGCCTTTATCTGCTACTTAGCTCTACTGGAAATAATAACTTCTGAGGTTGTAAAGTGCTTTGCAAGCTTTTGCTTTAGTCTTCTCCCCTTTCTTTTAGGAATTAACTAAAGAGAAAGCTGAAGAAGTCTATCTGTCAGCTGATGTTCATGGTCAAGGAACAAAGTGGGGAGCTGCAGAGCTTCATGATCTGCTGCTGAACAACGACCAGAAGGGCAGGCTCAACTTTGCTTTTTCATTTCTAATTGATTAAGAATGCTTAATAAAAACAGGAGTGAGTGCTGCAGTCCTTCTGTGAAACCTTGCAAGGGAAAGGCCATGTATTCTTCAAAAGTGCTAAGGATCCTGCTGGGACAACTACAATATTTCTGAATTTTGGCTAGAGAGACATCCTGCAGATACGATAATCTTGTGCTAAAACATACAAGGCAGAGATCTGAGTACAGATCCCTCATAGCTTAATCTTCAGCACCCCCCTAACGAATCACCTGTTGGACTGGAGGCTTTCCAGCGCCAAGTATATATGAAAGTGTTTCACCTCTCCTCAAAAGGCCATACGAGGCTGTAAACTCCCTGCTCATCTTTTTGTAAGTCAATTTTTTCAGCTTACTGTGACTAACCATGTGTGTCCTACCACATGTTCAATTGACAGTCTTAATAGAAGTTTGCTCTGGAGTCTTTATCACGGGATAATGCCTGTTAATTATTTTTCAGACGGGCAATTTAACGCTTTCAGCTTCTCCTGTGTAGGGCATGTTCAGGTTCTTCTTGTACAATCTGTAGATTAGTAACATTTGTTCAAGGATTGCCTCAAGGGAACAAAAGAATCATAGGAAAAGTAAAAGCAGCAGTATACATACTAAAGTAAAACACTACTCTGAGCTTACTGCTCTTACAAGTAAGTTGCCACATAACAGGGAAATTGTGATGCCTGTGACAGCACTCCCCATTTTTGTTTCAGCTCCATATCAACCCGGATGGACCACGGCCTTTTGAAGGCCGTGGTAATGCTCCGTGGCAAGTGAATTCAGTTGGAGCAGTGGGCAGGTGATGGGGCTCCTGAAACACCAGGTAGTACAGGGCACATGTACATGGAGGTGGCTTGGGGGAGAGGAGATGGAGAGGTGGGGGTAAGGCTAACAGAAGACACACTCAGGAATTCGGGACTTGTACTGCTTTTATCAGGACATTCAGAGGAATTGTCTGAAAGCTTGACTGTCCGGATGCTCAGTATCATTAGCTAAACCTCTGGTCCTCCACCTACTTCACTTCATCTCCTAGTTCTTGAACATCATGACAGCCCTGGTCTTTCAGCTTCCTCTGCTTGGGGTATAGAAGAGCCTGAAGGATAAAGGTGGATTTCAAAAGAGCTGCTTCTGCTTTGTGCCAGATGCCACTATTTGCTATATGGACTGTGCCAGGCACCGTACATACCTAAAAAAGGGTCTCAGTTGACTGGTTTATACGTCAAACATGTTTGTGCTGACAAACCACACTTTCTTTCTTCACTAGATCGCGCAGTGTTAGATATTACTGAGTTTAGTCCTGGTGGCCTCACACATCATCATCTTCTACAATGGTTGTGTCTTTTCCCTCCCTCCTAGGGGGATACTCCGGGGAATACAGGGAGTCTAACGTAAAGTACACACAACTCTTCAGGGCGTGTGGAAACATGCCCTTCTACATGGGCTTGCACCTGACAAAACCCAATACATTTCAGAGAAGATGAAGTTCTTTGAAGCATGGTTGCTTGTTTTGCTTCCAAAGAACCATGAACTTTTTTGGCCCTGTATAAATATGACATCCAAGCAATTAATCTGGTGGCCTATACAATTCACTCAAAGGCATGATACACAGCAACCTTCTCAACTGTGGACCAGAAGATTATGTTGATTTTTTTTTTACTTCAACTCCACTCACATAAGTTGAACCAATGTACACACTCTAAGGCTTTTGAGCCTACAAATCACTAACTAACGACACTTTAAGATAAAATAAACAGTCTATCTTCCTCTTGGAGATCTGCCAAAAGAAGAATGTTTGCCACAAACCCTGCTCCTTCGCTAGAATTTCAGTCATTTGGATTAAGGCTCTGAGAGGAATGAAACAACCCTCACTACTGATAGCCAAACCAATCTACTCATTACTTTAGCTACTTTCACCCTGTGAATATGCTGCTGAAGGGAAAACACATATCATGCATTCCTTTGAAATCTGTATACAAAGTCACAGTGGAATATTAATGCTTTTTCCCTAAACTCTGTGCAGGGGGCTTCACAGGTGTTGTTAGGCTTGACAGAGGATACAAAGCTGCATCATTCTTCTGCAACTCAACCCTTTCACAAAGGCTTTCAAGTTTTCCAAAATAACCTCCCTACCTTAAGGAACATTGCTTGCTTGTTTCTAAGGAAGGAGGCATTGCAGGGATACTTCTCTCTGTGAAGAAAGCAGTTTTTCCCATTTGATCTGAAGGTCTCAAATATTGATCTTTGTCAGTTCTTACTCTTAGCTTTTGTAACATTCTAATTTGTATCATATTTACAGGGGAAAACAAATGGCAATCTGAATGCTCATGAAATGGGGGGTTTAAAGGGAAATTTTGGATACAATTTCTAATTAATCTGCTGAATTTACACTATGTCCCCATTATTTTGTCCTGAGAAAGAAGCGTGCCTCTCTGAAGGGAAAAGAACCATACAGAGCTGGACTGTATAAAATGAGCTGTAAATCTAGCACTGAGCAATGACTCATAGCATTAGGAAAATAATCTTCTCATGTCACTCGAGTATTCTTTTGAAGGTACACAAATTACTGATCTAAGTGCTTTTTAAAAGTATATTTAAACACCATAATATATTTCATGTATATGGTACGGTAAGATAAAAACCAAGGACAGGTAGTACTAGAGGGAGAGGTGAAGAATGAGCTCATTGTGTATATAAACATGGTCCAAGTCTCAGAGATTCAAATTCTGGCTACATCAAGTTTCATGTGCTATTCCGCAGAGGCAGAGATTTTGTTTTGAGATGAACACGAAGCCCGGACATCCAGGCAGAAATCAAAACACTCAGTTCAGAGTGCAAGACTGCTGCTTGAGATTTTTTTCAACACTGGACTTGTTCCACATCATCTGTGTGATGAAGCCAAAACCAGTTCCAGGGAAACACAGCAAATCCTACAACAACTATAACTAGGAGACGCTTTCAGATGCCTCCTGGTAAAAGCAGTCAAGACAGCACTACAACCAAGGATCTTACCAGTAAAAGCAGTATTCCTCATCTCAACTTTTAGACAAAAGTGACAACAAAAAGCCAGACCAGGCAGTCTGAGCTGTACCTTGCCGACGCCGACTGTTGAGTTTCCTAAAGCAGGTGCCCTCCACAAGTCGATTGAGACGTTGCTGCTTGATCAGTTCTAAGATCTCAGGCTGAATCTTCTCTTTTAGTTCCCTTGGGAAGAGAGGAAGGAAGCACTTGTCAAATTCAATCAAAAACCATCCTCCTTCCTCAGAGACAGAGTCTCACAAGATGTTTCAGCAAGGAGTTTGAAGGGGACAACAGTCACAGGCAGAACCAGGTCAAAATCTAGCCTGCTCCAGGAAAAGACCTTTTTCTTACAACAAAGAATGGGAGTCAGTGTATCTCTGTTGTAGACGTCTCCCTGCTACAACATCAGTGCCTGACTCAGGCAAGTCACTTACTTGTTTCTTACTTCACCCATCTAAAAATAACGCTTGCCATAATGCATTAACCAAGTTTTTCTGTGGCAAGTAATGCTCTTTCATCGTAGGAGCACTGTGAAGGGTCTGTCACCTTGTGTTGCATGATCTGCTGCTGGTATACTTTACTGGCACTATTGTTTAGGGTAACACAAGAAGACTAAAACATATTTTGAAACAATGATAACAACCAGTGAGCAATGCCAATAAGTGAAATCAGTGACCAGCGCTAGATGCTTGTTCTTAATTCCATGCCATTCAATTAGTTCGTTATTATCAGAATTTTGTGGAAGAGTAACCCATGACTGGGGATTGCTCAAGGATCGAACTTTACCGTTGCTCAGGACTGCAGAAACCCACAGTGCATTTAGAAATAATATTAGATATCCTTCAGAAAATCCATTTTCTCCATCCTACTTGGATAAGAGTTCAACATGTCAAGAACTAGGCAGAAAACATATGCACACAATATTTAAAGTTTGATTTCATACACCATCACGTGGATTCACAGATGTCTGAATTAATCAGTCATATCCTCACTTAGATTCATTAAGCATACATAAAAGACAGGTTTAAACACCAACTCGACAGCAAGCCTAGTAAGATTAAAAAAAAATAACTAAATGTGTAGAGGACTTACAAAACACAAAGCGTGTCAGAACCATAATTTTTCATTGCTGTGCAAATTAGGGAATACCAAAAATCATTCTGTCTGGCAGTATGTTCCAGCAATCATCATCAAAAGGAAGAAAAGCTGTGGTATCCCATAGAGACAACAAAAATTTCTCTCTTCTTGAAAACTTAGGGAGCTCAGTCTCTGCTGATTTCCACATTCATTTGGATCTTACACCTTTGATCTGACCAACGCCCACTGAAATCACTGGAAGTCCTCTGCTAGAAAGATCAGGCCTTTTAAACAGAAATGCCATCTCTCCCCCAGGTATTAACAAAATGGTTGGAGTTCTTGATGCACAACCCATCGCATATTTACACGCTGTGAAAATCTAGCTGGCCAAAAATCAAGTAAGTATTGTAACTATAGTAACAGGCCACCTTTTGGAAATGTATTATTAGTCTTTTAGGGTAATTTTCAAGCACTGTTGTCTTCTCATTGGGAACTAAGGTATGAATATGCTGAATAATTAAACACTGTGATTAAAAGAATTTTGTGCTTGAATAAAAGTCTGGCCTTGACTGAGCTGATGAGCTTCCCCCATTCCCCAGGTAAGAGCTGGGAGCAGGGGCTGTGGAGAACTGTGTTAAAACACAGTGTGGATTACTCAGCAGTCCAGGCTGCAGACTACATCTCCAGCTGGAGTGATTTCAAACATTCAAGACTAGTATAAACAACAGTTTGATATTTGGGTAGTTTAATTCAGAAACTGGATGGTTATCATCAAATAGGTGCTTAAGATATCAAAACATCATAGTTGTAAGACACTACTGAAAAACAAAAAACGAACAGGTCACCCAGCACATTAACATTTGACTGTTTGCTCATAGTATTCCCTCTTCTTTCCTCTAAAGCCCCATCTGCTCTTTACAAAGCAGAGGAAGAGAAGGATTTTTAACCAACCCGAAAATAAACAAGTAATCCTCTCTGAAGGACTTCACTAAGGCAGACTCTCCATAGGAGGAATGGAGGTAGGAAAAGGGACACCTTCCGCCTCTTTGCTGATGTGCTGGAGACCCTCTACACATGTGTATGTAGTTGCTCTCACAACTGTGAAACTCAGAGGTAGTGCTCTCTTCTGTTTTACAGTCCCCATGCTTGAACACACACAGGTTGTGGAGACAACTCATCACTCCATGGAGAAACAGTTTTCAGTGACACCCCATGAGCTCATCCATCCCTTACCATGGTCACCTGCACTTACTGTCCTCAGCAGCTCATGCCATCACATGGTGACTCTGATTTGGATGGCTTTCAGCTATTTTTCAGATACCATGACTCCAGATATGTTTTTACAAGGTGATCCTGCCACTTAGTGCTCCTCACTGTCAAGGTTTCTGTTCCACCACTTCAAGGTGACAGAAATGGGGCAGAACAATCAAACCATGGCACACAGTTAAATGAAAGATGTGCTTCTTTGAATCTTTATATTTCCTCCAGAAAGCCATCTGAAGGCAAGGGAGTTCAGTTTCTCAGGGTCAGTGTTTAAAGACAGAAGAGTTAGGAAAAAATCTCTGTACAAGGAAATAGGTCCTCCTGCCTAATTTTAAAATCAAACAGGAACAATGAGCTAAAGGAAGATCATAAATGCAAATGTGTTTTGTGAAAATTTTATTTATTGTCCTTCAGTCAACATGGGCTTAACAGTTTGTGCCTTGTCAAGAGAGAGAGGACAAACTCAGAAAGTCTAAGGAGACTTTAAAAATTGCTATTAGTTTCCTACCATGTTCGTGTCACGTTAAGAACAGCAAAATTTAGTGGGCTGGTAAGACAGAAGGGTTGAGGGAACCACACAGTAATATATATGATTGCTAATTTTCTAATCTCACTGGTCTCAGCTCTATAGGCAATACTGACATCAGTATTTTTCCGCTTTTAAAATAACACACCTGAATTATCAGCAACTCTGAAATAATTAGAAATTATTTTTACATTATTCAAATGATCCTAGTTCTTCTTCAGCACCAGTTATATCTGTCCCCAGCTTTTACCTCTCCAGCTTATAGTTAAGACTCTTTCTTGTTAGCTCTTCTCCTTCCAGGATGGGGCATATTACAGACATTTAAATCATTACAACACAACAGAAGAGTAATCCCAGAACTGCTTTCATGTGTTTTGTCCTTTTATGTTCCTGGCTTGTAGCTATGTCCTCTCCTAATCACTCCATGAATTCAGAGCAGGCATAAATGACTCTTTCTAACATTGCAGAGAAATCTGGAAGATAAAAAGCCAAAAAGCATCCACATCCCTCCTTCTATGTTGCTAATTTTCACACAGATGCTACTTAGAAATGGCTCCCTAGCTGATATTAACTCTCCTTAAATCAGCAAGCCTCCACTTGGACGTCAGATCTTTATCCAGTATTAACCCACCTCTGTTGCCATTTAATGTGTCAAGGAGAACTCTGGTCCTCTACAGGTCCAGACCTAGACACCTTCTTCCACAGTCATTCAAAATGAACCAGTGACACTTCATCATTGCGCTGTGGAATGGCAGTTTGGATGATCGATAATGATCCCAGAATCTTGGATCGATTCTGTTCTGAAGGACTTTTTATTTTCCCTAATCAAAAGCAGAAATTGAAAAAACTTCATCTCACGTGATACAACAATGCTCATATAAAAAAAAAATAAAATTAGTCCTTGCAAAACAAGGCTGTTGTCGTTACGGGGATCTAAGGCAACACTTTCCACTTTACATTCCAATCCAACTGAACTGAAACTTCTCTCATCCAGCAGCTTGAAAACTTAAAATTTCCGTGCTTCACACAACAAACAGCAGAAGAAAGACTTCTATCATGTTCACAGTAGGAAAAACATCGTCTGATTGCTGTATTCTCAGGCAGAATTAAACAGGGCCTGCTGCCTGTACCTTCAGCATCCCGCACAATCTCTTTCAGCGTATCTGCAAGGCTCTGCGGCGTGCAGCACAGCCACAATTGCTCTCTCCACTCACAGTCTCCTTCCCCACAATGGGGCCATGATTCTGTTCTTCTATCAATTGTGCCATCTACGCAATTTGAGAGAGTTCAGCACTGGGGGAACCAAATCAAAGGGGAAAATGAAAGAACTGTTTCTTTTCACAGTCAAGAATAAGTGATCATGGATGCAATTAAAATGCAAATGCACAGAGTTAAATCTCTGCAAATGCAGTTGTGATTGCTTAAACACCTTATCGATTTACTTAGCCTTTAGGCTTAGTCTTTGTCCTGAATCTGAAATGAGTCTCTGGTAACACTTCAGTTGCTTTTAACTATTTGTGTTGGCTGTTTCACGCATCCCATGATGGGGAAGGCGACTCCGCACTGTGGCAGCGACTGGCCAGAGCGATACTGGAAATAAAGAACTTGCAGAGGGCACTGGCAAGTTTCACGAGGGTAGGCGATGGTGTGAGAGAATATAAATAGTTGACCCGTGTCACACTTAAACAGTTGACTCATGGGGAAAGCAGGGAAAACGAGAAGCTTTGGTGACAAGCTTAGCAGTACTGAGCAGCTTTGAACCACTAAACATTTCGGGGGATTGGCAGGGGATTTCTGAGCAGTGTAATGATGCAAAACCGACGGGAACCATTTGTAGCTTTTTAATTGATGCATTACTATGAGTGACATCAGTTCTAATTGGGCGTTAGGTCCTATCTTCTAATACACTGAAAACATAAAAGAAGCATTCCCCTTTTGATCCACATTGGTATGATTAAAATTTAAGTGTGTAATTCTACTGAGCTTATGCTTCCGCTGTTGCCCTGCCCCCCTGGAGGAATGTGTCCCCAGAGCTTCTACTTGGATATCTGTATCCTTTAGAAACAAATCAAAATGAACATCCTGCTTTTGAATACTGAAAAGCTCTGGTCCAAACCCTTCTCTATACCTTTGCCTCGAAAAGGAGATTTGAAAAAATCACAAGCCATTCCACTCGAAACGTGGGCAGGATTTCATGACGTTTCAGCTGATGCTTCCAGAGCCATTTCTCTGATCTCAAAAGGTTCCTCCTATCCTCAGCACATCATTTGTGTGCCACGGAGTCTGCATCTGTCGTGTGCCATCAGTTCAGCCACTAGCCTGGACTTGATCCAGAGCCAAGCACAGCCTCCATATTTATAAGGGAGTGGAGCATATGATTAAGGGAGTGGAGCATCTCCCTTATGAGGAAAGGCTGAGGGAGCTGGGTCTCTTGAGCTTGGAGGAGACTGAGGGGGGACCTCATTAATGTTTATAAATATGGAAAGGGTGACTGCCATGAGGATGGAGCCAGGCTCTTCTCACTGGCATCCAATGATAAGACAAGGGGAAACGGATATAAGCTGGAACATAGGAGGTTCCGCTTAAACATGAGGAAGAACTTCTTCCCAGTAAGGGGAACAGAACACTGGAACAGGCTGCCCAGAGAGGTTGTGGAGTCTCCTTCTCTGGAGATGTTCCAAACCCGCCTGGACGCGTTCTTGTGTGATCTGATCTAGGCGGTCTTGCTCCAGCAGGGGGATTGGACTAGATGATCCTTTGAGGTCCCTTCCAATCCCTGACATTCTGTGATTCTGTGATTTCATAGAACAGAACGGGAAGGAGCTACAGTGGCGACATTAAGTGTGTGATACTTTGAAGTAAACAAGAAGGAAATGAGAATTCCCATTGGCTAGCTGCCAGAACGTTACCATTTACAAATAAGTAACTGCTTGTCATTAACACCAAAGATAATGCCATAAATGGTCACGCACAGCATCATTCTTTTCTGGAGCCATTGTGTATTGGCTCCTCTTCTTCTGGGCTTCTCCCTGTCTTGGTCAGAGAAGTGACATTTGGAATTTTTAAAGGCCCTTGAACAGAAGACAAAGTTGTGTTGTTTTTTTTTTTTCAAAAGCCACAACCAATACCAAAATCAGGCTCACAATCATGCAAAGCTAGGAAATGTCAAAGCATTGTTTCATAAAAATAAGCCATGTGAGATCCTGCAGGGATTTGCTGAATCTGGTTTAACGGAACTCAAAGAAAAAGTTATGATTCCCAGCAGAAGAAAACATAATGCACTTCAAGCAGATACCACGCTACTGCTTTTCAGCACAGCTCCCTGGACAGCTTTCCTCCTTGGGCTGCCCCAAAGGAGCTCACAAATGTCATTCACCATCGTTAATCCTTCCATGTAAAAATGAGTGGGGAGAGAAGATGGTACTTACAGAATCGGACGAGACTGGAAATCTTCCTGGTTCATTCTTTCAGACTGGCGTATTTTCAGTATTTCTGTATAACTAAGATTCTGCAGCTTGCTCTTGAACTGATCCAGAGAGCTAGGCTTGGTAGTGAGCGCTCTCATTATTTGTTCTTTCACTACCTGCATCACCTGCAGATGACATGGAAAGGAAAAGAAAACCTGTGTTAACGCTTTCTGCGCTTTTGTTTCAAATCTCACTCTAGGTCACAGTAAGGTTTCTATGTACAGATGACGATTGGTACTAAGTGGTCACAAGACAATTTTTCAGTAGCATAACCAGAAAACAAGCCAACCTCTGACAGGGCATCACAGTTTACAGCAAAATCTGATCTGCTCTGTAACAAGAAAATTATTATTTTTGAGGGGTGGTGCGGAGGGTGTAATTTATTGCCCTCTACCATCACTTATTAACTACCATCACTTATTAACTCCCTAGACTGCTAAATTACAATCGCTGGTTACAGGATTTTACGTCCCGCTCTCTCCATGGTTTGTGCACCCAAGGCAGCAGCGGCGTGGCTCTTCTGCATTCGGAGCCGAGACGATGCTCCTGTCATGTTGGGGACAGGCACACACACCCCACCAGACTCTTAACAGCAGAAAAAAAGCTGTGAAGTCCTAAGGAGCTGACTGAGAGCACAGATGCACATCCCAACTTCTGCCAGCTCTACCCAGGTGACGTGCACAAGCCGCAGCGGCCAGTCTAACTGCCCACAACAGACTGCAGAGAGTTTTTCAGGACTTACAGCTCTCCTGCTGGGCCTTACAACTGCTCTCCCAACCAGAAAAAGCACAAAGCTGTTAACTGTAGCCCGTTGCTTTCCTTATTCCTTATGCCCAGAGGTGATGGGCACACACCGAAACCAAGGAGGTTCCTTCTGAACATCAGGAACAACTTTTCCACAGGGAGAGTGACAGAGCAGTGGCACAGGTTGCCCAGAAAGGTTGTGGAGCCTCCATCCTTGGAGATACTTTAAAGCTGTCTGGACACGGCCCTGGGCAACTGGCTCTAGGTGGCCCTGCTTGAGCAGGGAGGCTAGACCAAATGACCTTCGGAGGTCCCTTCCAACCTCAACCATGCTGTGATTCTCTGAGAGCCTTATGCTGCAGGAACCTTATGGCCCTATACAGGGAAGGAAAGAGAATTGCTAAAAGAGGCCATTAGTCAGGAGAGAGAGAGAGATCAACTTGCCACAGATATTACAGGATTGCTTTTGAAGCAATGCCATGAACAATGCAAACAAAAAAAATGAGAATGAAGGATGGCTGGACAACAGCCATCTATCTGCATATTAATTATTTTATCAGGAGAAAACTGCTGAGACACAGTTAACTAAGGGGAATTGCTGGGCTCTAGCTCAAATAAATCACTGTCTGTCTCTCTGCAATCCCAGATTCATTTCCTTGGTGCTGGTGCAAATCACATACTTTGAAATATTTATCTGATGCTGTGCTTAAGTTGGCTGAAAAAAAATGATTTTTCAGTCTTGGAAAATCCCACCCCACCCAAATCCAACAGCTAAAAAGCAGCATCTGATGCTGTGCTTAAGTTGGCTGAAAAAATGATTTTTCAGTCTTGGAAAGTCCCACCCCACTCAAATCCAACAGCTAAAAAGCAGTAGGAAATAATAACGTCCCCCTGGTATCAGAGTGGGTGTGACAGAAATTAACAGCTACACAGAGGGCAAAAGCTTTTTCTGCACTGTTCATTTTCCTTTATTCCTTCATCTTCACCACATATCTCAAAACAGAAGCTCAGCCCCTCAGAGGTTCCCTAATCATTCTGAAAATGTGTTTTCACATGAATATTTCAGTGCTTCACATATGTTGCCTCAGTCTTATAACTCTCATTGCCTGCACTACGTTTCCTATTTTCACTTCCTAAGAGGTAGCTTCTTTCCCAGATGTTATCTAAGTACTCATTTTAGATGTGTCCAGCAGGTACAACTAAGCCATTAAAAAACTGAAGATAATCTCCTTCCTTACTACAGGGACTACATCCATCCCAGAGACTTCAAGAGGAGCAAGATGCTTCTCACAAAGGTGTTGGCTCAGTTGGACAGCAAACGCTTTGTCCATGTTTCCACCCCCTGGATGAAGCAGCCTATCCACGCTCACCTGGATGGGGCCTTACTTTGAAAACATCCTTGCAATTAACATCCTACTTTTGGCAAATCTTGCAAACCTGGCCCAGACAAAGCGGAGCTCCGCTCCATCCATTCCTACACATCTAACAGGTACATTGCTGTGTATTTGAGCAAGTCTTCTAAAACTTCGTTTGATGACAAAAGGCAACGCTGAATTCTGTACTCTATCATCTGCAAACTGTTCACTTCATATACAGAAGTATTTGTTCTCAGATGGTGGCCATATGCAGCCAAATCCCTCTGAAGAGTCACTCAGCTGCACTGCCAGTGGGAATCAGCTCCTTTCATAGAATCATACAATCATAGAGTGGTTTGGGTTGGAAGGGACCTCAAAGATCATCCAGTTCCAACCCCCCTGCCATGGGCGGGACACCCTCCACTACCCCAGGTTGCTCAAACCCTCATCCAACCTGGCCTTGAACACTTCCAGGGATGGGGCAGCCACAACTTCTCTGGGCAACCTGTTCCAGTGCCTCACCACCCTCAGAGTAAAAAATTTCTTCCTTATATCTAATCTAAATCTGCCCTCTTTCAATTTAAAACCATTGCCCCTTGTCCTTTCCCATCTGAAAGACAACTCCTCTTGCCTGCCACCCCGCTGCTTAGAGGGATTAACACCTCCTTGACCGCATTCAGAGTGCGCTCACCAGTCCACACCAGTCCAAGTAAGAAATGAGCTGTCACATCTTGGAAACAACCAACCTGAGGGCCAAACAACCACAGCACCTGAATGTTGATGGATCACTCCCCTGCCCCATTAGGGGCACACTCCTACTGATTTCACTGGGTCTTGGTTTAATACCTAAACGGGCTTAGGAAATGTAATGAAGGAAATGTCCTCAAGGACTAATGGGAAAAAATGAAGTAGACAATCCCAGGGATGAGTTGGACGTCTACCCCCTTCCGCCTTCTTGACAATGAATACTAACTGCTGCTGATCAATTTTAGTTTATATTTTATACATTTATATATTATCAATAATTATTATTATTAACTACCATACTTGGGCCAGGAACCGAGAAGAGAGGAGACACTTGTAAACCTTTCCCATTGAAAATCTATTCAGTAATTAGTATTTCCTAAGACTACCATCTGAGCTCCCAGCGAACTGGCCTTGACTTTTCACCCTCATAGAGAACGTGATGTTCACTCGCTGGCTTCACTTCTGCTTTCTCAAGCCCGCTGAGGAGTTGTGCCAGACTACTTCGTTACACGTGGTTTTACAGTCAGCCTGCAGTCATCGTGTCTGCAGCATCATCCAAAAGAAGCACACAAAACCAGGTAGCTTAATTCAAACATGTAAACCCCGTCATTGCTCATGGGATCAAATTTTCTGGCCATTAGAAAGGAAAAAATTACTGCATTTTCAAACAGACAGGCACAGTAAACCCGCTAAACTAATATTACATTAATATTAATGACATTAAACTAATATTACATTACTAATATTACACTGCTATACTATCACTACCATATCATCTTGACTTTTCAGCACTAAACCAGATTTGAAAACAAATATAATTCTGCAATCGCTTACACAGGCATCCAACCCCAGTTTCACCCATTCACTCAAATATCTGTAAAGATCTGGTATTTTGTTGCTTACACACAGATTTAGTATCCTGTATTCAGGCACTCACACTGCAGAAACTGCCTCCAGGAGTAGTTTTTCCCGTGAAATAAACAGACAAACAGATAAACAAACACTATATTTTAGGGAGTTGCATGTATGTGGATCTGCTTTTCAGTCTGATCTCTGAACCACCCATATGAAGCAGCACAATGCAAAAGAGGTTCAAGTTCAGCAGACTTGGGGCGCTGTCGTTTATGCTTAGTTGGAAAATCTTGTGTAAACCCTCGTCTCCCTTCTCTGTTACTCACTGTTGTGATTAACATGCAAACAATGCATATTCCTCTTCTTTGCTACGATCTGGAAAGTTATTCACAGGGGATCATGAAAGAGCAGCTTGGTTTAGAGGCTCCCCTTGCTCCCGAGACACAAGGCAGGCAGCGTATGCCCCAGGCCCAGCACATAAGGGGCTGATCACTCGCCTTGTAATGTTGATGGCCAACACTATTTAACTAGCTGGCCAAAATGGCAAAGCTGCTGATTGCGTTGAGTCTCCAGAGCATTTGGGAATCGCTGCCAAGAACTTCTAATCTGTTCCATTTCTATAGCTGAGTTGCCAGCCCTTGATTACTGGTGTCTGAGAGGCAGCGTCAACCCTTCCTCCCCATGCGTCTGACCTCACAATGAAATTACAGGTATTCTCTACTCAATGTGATTGTACACAAACACTGTAGATGGTGGTTTTAATTACATTATGTTTTGCTAGTCTTACTGAGAAATGAGTGTTTCAGAGGGCACATTTGCTTTAAATCATGTCCTTTTTATCTGATGACCTCTTGTACGGTAAGAGAATCCCGAATTCTGCGTTATGACTAAGACAGGTTAATTCACTGAAGACATGAAGAGAAAGACGGTAGGAAAAAAAAATTTTTTTTTTGTTTTGTTTAATCACATAGGACCTTATTCCCTGTATTTTGTATCCAACGCATCTTACGTTTCTATGGTCAGTATCACCATAACATTAAACTCTGTATTTTTCGTTAAGCTGTTTTAGTCTAGCTTTGTGTTTAGCTTATTCGATCTCATCTCTGTCATATCACATTTTGACTACTCTGCTTTTCCAACATTTATTCCCTCTTTTATTCTTCCTCTCCCTCCTGCCATGACAACTTTTGCCTGTGCAAAACCCTCTTCCTTTCAGGATGGAGCAGAGGTCTGAACACTTGGGCTCTACAACAAGGGGACAAGATAAAAAGAGAGAAGTTGTCAATGTCCGAAAGAAGAGTTTATCAGGGCCAAACTCTACAGCAACCTTCCCACTGACCGCATTTCAGTGGCTTGTTGCAACTATGGAAAGCTGAAAGTGGAAACCTCTCTACTCAGCTTACCCCACACCGATCCAAAGTTTGCCC